CTTTGGCTGTGTTTCGGCGTACGGACCGTACAGGAGAGTCGATTGCGAGAGCTGATGTGAGCGGCTCGGAGATCAAGCTATGCTGGCCCAAGCGTGACAGTGAAGTGTCAGTCATGGGTGCAGAAGTGCAGCAGTCATGGGTGAGTCCGCTTGTCACGGTGGGACGGAGAGAAAGTTCTCCCTCCTCATCCGGGCTCCCCCGCGCAAAGATAAATAGAGAGGCTAAAAGGCGGCGAGGAGGCGCAGAAAGGAGCTTTTGTGGCTTCTGAGTGGGGTCTCTTTCATGGCCGTTCCCACAGCATTGAGCATGATGACATTCACAATGTTTCGCGCGCACACATGCACACACGTACACACTCACACACACAGACACTTACTGATGGGACTGCGGTGACTTTCGCTGGTGCCGGGCCCCAGACGAGATGGCGAGGGCCCGAGGAGCCACAGGCAGCCATTGTGCTGTCGCCGCGGAAACCAGTCTCTTTATGTCAGACATGTTTTTCTGTTTGTTTTCGTTTTTATGGCTTTAATGTGGGCAAGGGTGAATGTTTCCCCTCTCACCCCACCCCCCACACACACCCTTGACTGATCTGTGTTGTCTCCCCCCCCAGCCTCCCCCACACCGATAGCCATCTTTTTGCTCCCACCAATCCATCCGCATTTGTTTTGCACTTTCCCCCAGTTCAAGTCCCCGTCTCGCTCATGTTGTCCGTCATTGTTCTCAGCGAAGAACAACATTTGCCCCGACAGTTTGTCAGACAGTTGTCGCAGCGTTGTGGCCTGTATCCTCATTCTGAGCTTTTATCTTCACAGCCTCACCAACAAAGTCGAACACTATCTATGCGGGATGCTGTTTGACTTCCAAGTACTTCTCAATTCCAGACTAATTTTCCCACAGGAAATTATGTACAGTGAATTTGTTTGTTCCAGGCCCAGATTATCATCATCATAATTTTTATATTAACATTGGAGGCAATGGTTTAAGAATAGAAACACAAAATCAAGTGGTGATGGGGGCTTTCGAGACAGCGAAGATGTGTGGCTTGTTGACGAGAATCACAATTTCATGTTCGTCATTGCTGCTCTGTGGCTAATTTTGATAGCATCTGCTTGGCATAATCGGTGTATGCGTTTGAGTTGAATTAATATTGCAATGGTACCTTGACTTAGAAGTATTTCAAATCAATATTCCCCGTTGAAAAGAATTGCAATGCCATTAATCCATTTATGCCTCACAAAAAAAAAAAAAAATCTATTTTTTGGTTGCATATTTTTAAATCCTTAATTAACTATGGTTGGACAAGTGTTTCTTTAAGGGGTGTGGCTTAAACGACTGTTTGCACCAATCACCAAACGGCTGGAACTGCATCTGCCATTGTTTCTCTCCCCGTGATTTGCAACGTGAAGCGTAAATACTTTGGGAATGTAGCTTGGAAAATTTTCCACCCAATTTTATTTGAACAGCATTCTGTGCAGCTTTTGGCACTTCCACTGTACTTCTGCTTCCCGGCTCATGAAAAACAAACTTCTGTCTTTCCCACGCCATTCCTACATTAGTTGATTAATCATAAATTCACAAGGACATGCTGGAGAACATATGAAAGAATGTTATGTTTCTACTCACTCCAAAAAAAAAAAAAAAAAAAAAGGAGATGCCTAAATGTCCTCCAGTGAGTGAAATTAGAAAAGCGGAGGGTTACTATTTTTAAGTGCGTGAAGAATGCCGCTCAGTGCCATGTCTCAAAGGCCCGCCGGCCCGTAATCACTTCATTGTGACTTGCGCATCACATCCAAGATTGAATCTTTTATGGGCCACACAGAACAAAGAAGAAGTGAGAAATGAAAACGACTGTGTTTAATTGAATGACTACGCTCTTTTATGAGCTGGCTAATATTAAAAACATTAAAATATTACTCTTAGATTTTTTTTTTTTTCATGCGACGCACTGTATGGAAGGACTGAAGGGGAAGTCCGCAGTAATTGTCAGGAATGTATCCAGAATACACATTTGCTCAAAGCCTTGCAAGATGCCACGTGGAGGGTGAAGCGTCGTTGTTTTACACCGCCCCCGACGCCCTTGGTGCAGCTCTCTGACAGCCTCTTCGTATCTCAAATCCTTCTTATAACAAAACACCTCCGATTATCAGGGAGGCATCCATCCACACGTCACCCCCGTGGCATTTCAGAGGAGCAGTCGTAAGCTCGAGGGAAAAAAAAAATAAAAATGTCGTCCAAAAAAACCTGCCATCGCTGAACTGTACTGATGGGCCACTTTTAGCTTTCCCAGAAGAGATTGCACGTAGTGTGCAACTTTGATGTTGATCATCAATATCACTTTCAGGGAACATATTTTTGGTCTTCGTGCAAATTTTAGGGTTAAAGTGAAGCAAAGAAGATGAGGTCCAAGTCTGCAAAGATCAATACAACTTATTTACGTTCACTGCTCATGCTCCAAATATTTTGCCATTTTAATTAGTTGCATTACAGCTACATTTTCTCCCTCTCATCATTTTCATTCTTGCCGCATCGGTAAAAATTGCAAACTAATGTCATGATCCCCTGTCTTATTTCCATCACTTGTTTGATTCTGCTTGCATGTCGCTCCTTGAGGCTACACAATTGCCAGTGTAGCCCATTGAAGTTAGATGACAACTGGAGTCTGGAATGAATTTTAGTCAAACTCGTCCACAATCCTAAAACTGGCGACATCAATCCGACGCGGGTTAAGTCACGTGACTCCAGTTCCCCACTTCTGCGAAAAATAGGAATTTCAACAGTCAACCATTCGTTGCTCGCGTCGACGGCCGCGTGTGAAAGGCAGACTTGTGGGAGACAACACAGAAAAATCCTGCTGAAAGGCAACACGTGTGCCGCAAAACCATCGCTACACAATCTTGCTCACAAGGACCACAAACAAACAGTCAGTGTTGCGCTCAGACATGAGCTATGTTTGAGGTCAGCGTCTGAGGGCTCTTGGCTAACTGCATATAGCACAAGCAGGCTTTGATCGTCTCAATCCGCCTGTGGCAACGACATCAGTTTTTGGGGCCCTTTGCTACCGGAAGTGTGTGGTGTGGGAAGGCTCCGTGGTGCTCAATATACAATAATAAAAAGGCTGGCAGATTTATTTCAGTCGGGAATTCGTTTCGTCTTATCCGGCGAGTGATGAAAAGAGCGAGAGATGCGTCGGGCCGTCGGTCTCACGACATGAAATGATAATTACAGAGCGAAAGAGAGAGGAGAGCGGTGTCTCCCGAATAAAAAGGGGCGCCTGCTGTATTAGACTCCCAATGATTGCCCCATGAGAGATAAAAGGACAACACACACACACCACATGCCTGTTGCTCACTGGCCAAAAATCACAAATAAACCAAAGAAATGCAGCCACAGAGGCGAATGTTTCACTTGTGTGTGTGTGCGTGCTTCTGCACCAACCCACCGCAGTCCGCTCTGGTCTTTTTGATCCCCGGTCGAGGGTCCTCTCCGCGGAGCCTCGCTCGGAATTCCTGAGATTCTGGGATCATTCAATCGTTTCACGGTACATACTTGCTGCCCGCCCCCACCGGGACACGGCGCTAGGAATGGAAAATGCCACCGCAGTCCATCCATTGTCTCGAGTCTTTAATCAGGCTCCCAATGCGGCTTGCGCTGCCACCGTGGTGTGTTGTCTCAGCCTGGGAAAATGCAGGCCCGAGTGCTCGTCAGACCACAAGGAGCGAGGGGTGCTGCTGCGGGCCCTCAGCGCCAGACTGCGGCTGCCAGTGCGGCTGACACACACAATGAGTGTGGATGCAAAGCGTACATGAAGGCAGTTTGCTTTTTAGACATCACAGGCCACATGAGTCTGTCGTAAATCACAAGCATGGTCTTTTTCCTGTCCTGAAGAGCTTGCTCAGTGGAGTAGTGAAACATGTAAACAAATGATCATTGAGAGAAGCTGTTTTAAGATACCTGGCAACATCCCCTCAGAGGGATTGCATACACTCCTGGAAAGAATCAAACCACAATTTCACTGATATCTTGGCACTAAGCTCTACTTTTTAGGAAAGTCTTTTGCCTAATAGATTCCATGTGATTCCCTGTATGGCATGGAGATAGCGTAAAACGAGTACCATCACACTCTAAGCAATAACGTTTTTGCCACATGTCAATCAAAATGATATCTTCCAGATGAAAGGGAAGTCCAGTTTGGGATGCAAGTTAAATATTCCTCAATACAGGGGGTACTCTGTTGTCAAGAGTAAGATGTTCAGTTTTATTTTGTTGATCATCAAGTTGGCACCGCTGTTGGTTGAATGTTGTCTTTTCTTTTTACTATGTACTGTATAACTTGATATGATGGCAACGCTTCATGTATTTTATTAAATTCAACTCGCGGAGAGGACTCAAACTTCTCTTGTGGGTTTTGATCTGAAAACGTTTGGGAAACCCTGGATTAGAGCAACATTAGTTTCGGTTGTAATTTAGTGCTGATATTCATTTTCATCGTTTTTTATTGGGTTGTTTTAACATCCATGTGGGTTTTTCCACAGCAGGCCATAGGAAAATATTATGAAGTCAAGAACTGTGGGAAGAGATGTGTGGTTTATTGGCACTGGTTGTGCCAAATAAATGAATATTCGTTTCATAATTTGTTTCTTTGAACATGGAAGATTATTTCCGCCCTAAAATGGAAAACTATACTCAAGCACACATTTATAGTTGATGTTTTTTCTTTCAAAGAACTCTTTTATTAAATTCAAGGTTGACTTTTCTTTATTTAACAGCAAGGAATGTTACGTGTGAACATGAAATTAGATTGCACAGCTTGGAAGTCACATGTTTTGATTTACTATTAATTGTGTTCACTTAGATAAAATGTTTCTATTCATTTACCTCCCAATTGTTTATTATTATTTTATTTTATTTCATTGAAATCGAAATCGAAGTCCTCTTTCCCTTTTCCATTGGTCGTCACTCGTGGCCGCGCCTACATCACTCCTAATTGGCTAAACGTAAACGTCAATCTCGGAACACCGGAAGTGTTTATGCTGTACTTGGATCGCAGAGAAAACTAGAAAATAATGCTAATAGCACTAGCAATTTAATGTTTTCAAGATCACGACCCATCATCAAGAATTTTTCTGGGTTTTTGGCGAGTAAGTCATTTGGCTTGATTGTGTTTTTATTTAACACGCGCTCTTGAATGAGGTGCTTGCGAGTGGCCGAAAACGGTTTTGCAACTAGCTAGTTAACGTTAGCCGCGGTAGATAGCCTGAAAACAAAAGACAGCGTGAAGCATCAACTCTCGTGTCATTAAGTTGCTCCTTATGAAGGCGTTCAACACGGTCTTATATGTGGCTTCATTTTTTTCATACAAGTCCACTTGGAAATGTTAAAACATGTTGTCATAATATGTAGACGATTGAGAATAGCGCTATAAAGCATCCTACAGTAGATTGCGCACAATCTCTGGAGTTGTTTAAGAACCAATGCATGCTGGCTTGCAAAAAGAGAATCAGGAAACACTGATTGTGCCACATTTATTGTTTTTATTTTTAATTTTGCCACTCAATTGATATCAGCGTGGCTGCATTTCCATTTACCCTCGTATTGTTGTTGTTGTTTTTTTTTTTTTTACTCTTCCTCTCTCCTGGCAGAGCCCACTGAAGTTTCGTCATGGAGGTACCTTGCTACCTGCCCAAACTTCTATTTGAACTCAACGAGCAGCGCAAGCGAGGCTACTTCTGTGACTGCAGCATCCTGGTCGAGGGCCGTGTATTCAAAGCCCACCGCAATGTCCTGTTCGCAGGAAGTGGCTACTTTCGGGCTCTTTTGGTTCACTATTTACAGGTGCGGTGGTTTTTGATGGCCGACCACTGTCTGTTCTGGAATACTTGAAATGTTGCTTCATTTTCTAAACATCCATCCATCCATTTTGCATGCAGTACCGCTTGTCTTCAACGACAGGGCACATATAGACGAACAACCAATTGCACTCACAATAAATTTTCCCTTTGGTGGATCCATTGAATAGAAATTCAGCAAATTCAAATTATTGAAATATTTGAAACACCAACTGTGACTTTTAAGTCAATTTTCCTAATTGTCTATGAATGTCGTTTCAGGATAATGGACAGCGCCAAAGCACAGCATCATTAGACATAGTTACAGCGGATGCCTTCTCCATCATCCTAGATTTCCTCTACTCCGGCCGGTTAGCCTTGAGCAGCAGCAGTGTCATCGAAGTGATGTCAGCGGCCAGCTACTTGCAAATGACCGACCTGGTGAATCTTTGCAAAAAATACATTAGCTCCTCTTTGGAAATATGCAATAAAGACAAGGAAGGCATAACCGAGGAGGAAAATCCAGGACAGGAAGGACGATACAGACCTGCGGACAGCGGCACTCCTGCTGCATCCAAGTCGAGTAGCGTCGGGGCCACGGAGCCTCGTTCACGGGTTACGGAAGCAGACGCAGCATCTATAAAGCCAGATGCGAGCCCTTTGTACATGCCTGGCAACAGCCCACCAGGCCCAAGTCGAGAACCGGACTCCGACTACCGTTCTGTTAGTGAAAAACCAAAGGCTCACACGGATCAGACTAACCTCTCCTCAACGCTGTGCTCCACTTTGACTCACGAGTTAGTGAACCCCAAGATAGAATATGACCCCGATGAGGAGCTTTTGGAATCCCCTGACAATAAAGACCTGGCATCATCATATCCCGGACCTTCAGTCCCTCATCACAGCAGATCAATCCCGCCAAGTTTTTCCATGGAGCGCTCCTCTGTGGGTTACAGCTCTTCCTTTAGTGCCAGGCAGCTGATGGAGATGCTGGCCAGGGGTGAAGGTCCCAACCCTCTGGTGGACCGAGCGGCCCAGCGCATGACTCACAGACCGCCGGGTAGCATTTTAGGAGTGAGTCGAATTGAGGACAGCTTGGGTTTTGTGGGATCATCTGTGATGGAAATTCAGTCGGATTGGATTGGAGAGGATACAGGTACAGCAAACCAAGATTGGTTCAGTGGAGTTTGTGAACTTGGTACCTGCCATGTAGATTTTTAACGGCCTCTTCTATCCCGCAGGTGACAGCTTACTGGTTCCAGTCAAACTGCATAAGTGTCCCTTCTGCCCGTACACGGCCAAGCAGAAGGGAATTATGAAGCGGCACCTTCGCTGTCACACAGGAGAGAGGCCCTTCCCCTGTCCGATGTGTGGCAAGAGGTTCACGAGGCAGGAACATCTTCGCACCCACGCCCTGAGCGTAAGAGATGAATCACACTTTGTACCTTCCGTAGCCGTCTTCTGAGCATGTGGACCGAGCCCGACTGCAAATAATGAAAATCTATTAAGAAGCCAAAATATAGAAAATTGCCAATAGGTGTGGCTCAATGGTGGCAAAGCACTACTTTGATATTAGACGGGGTTATGTCTTGGCAAAAAAAAAAAAAAAGCTCCTCCGCTCACTCAAATGTATTTCCTTAGCACCAAGATGGTAATGAAGCAATACTTTTTTAAATTATATATATTTTTTTATTTTAGCAAGGGCTTTAAATAGTGCCAAAAGGAAAATGGCGAATATGCGGAGGAACCATGTTCACTCATTTCCCAACCGCCGCCACTGTCTGCGAACCCCCGACCAGGTTCATCGTCATGACTTGCCCATGTCATGCAAGAGCTGCAGGAGAATCTTCTCCGGGTCCAGCGTATCTCCAGGCTTCCGACGCTACGGCATCTGCGACAGCTGCAACTGCGTGACCACCACTCACGCCGACTCCACCCCGCTACACCCTGCCAGCCAAGTGGAGCCCACGGAGCGTGAAGAGGGCGGCGCCGATTGGGCCAGTTTCATGGACGAGGTGGACGAGGTGGAGGTCGGTCGAGTGGAAGACTTGGTGGAGAAACAGATGCTGGAAAGGCAGCTGGCCGCTTGCAATGACGTAGGTCATACTCTGTGAATCTTTAGAATTCCTCCCTGATCGTCATGAAGTGTATTTGTAGAATATTCTTTTTGTTTTTTTGTTTTTTGTTTTTTTACAAATACCTCTTTGACTCATGGAGACCTCACCTTGATTTAGGTTAGTTTAAGCGGGGAACACACATTTAGTGAACAATTTAAGCAATTGTTAAAATCATGAAAAAAAAATGGCAATGAAGTGAGCGGCTGATGATACTTGTCACACCACAAGATCAATCTTTCAGAGGGCACCGACAATCATGCTTTTGCTGACTTGGATCGAAAAAATTAAAATACTGAAATCAGGGCCAGTTATTGGTGTTGCCGTGCCTTGCTCTTGGTCCATAGATACTTTATCGATTAAATTTTGTGAGTGTTTTCAGGCCATCGTTACCCCCCCTTGTATGTCCTGCGTGTGCTTTTTTTTTATATTGAAAATGCAAACAAGTGAAGCCTGGTGCATGGCTCAAACTTGTCCAATGAGAAGCAGAGCGCTGCTCTCTAGTGGTGACTTCACACACTTGCCAATTCACTTTTGGAAGGCACTGATGACAAATGGAAGTGAGTGCTTTCTTTTCTTTTTCGAGGACAATATTGAATTTCTTTCTTCAAAAAAGAAGTAACATTTGATGTATTCTTATGTAGGTTCTTATGGTAGTACAATCACTAAATGGCAATGGTGGAAAGTAGTCAAATACAAAGTCAATTTTTCAAGTATTTGTACTTCACTTGAGTGTTTACTTTTCTGACGACGTTTTACCTTTTACTCCTGGCATTGGAAAACGTTTATGTGTACTTTCTATTCATTACTTTTTGAAGCCTCCATTCAAACAAAGATGTAAATTGAGGTTAAGTCAACTGCGATGGAGATCTTGGTGGACTGAGATCTGAACAGACAGCAGCGACGTGGAGAAACATGACCCGGTGTGAATGAACAAGGATAGTAACAGATTCACAGAAGGTCGATCCTCCACATCCACGGTTTTATTCAAAAGATTTGTTTGCTGTTGCTGACTCCAACAATGACGGCGATGAATGCGTTGCCTCATGGTCGCCAAAAACCCCTAGCTTTAACGAATTCAAAATGTGTCCGTCCACTCTGGGGGAGGGGACATCACACAAGTAAGATGCGTTTTTTTCAGTTATCACAAGCTGTTATTTTTTTAATTACTCGTTATTTCATGGGAACACTTGTTTATATGGCATAAAAGTCAAGTTGGTTGTTTTTTCCCTTGTCAGTATGAACACAAAATAAGTTAATAAAAGAGGAGAACTTTTGTGTGCAGGTTTTTCTTGCTGTGCTAAGTCATCAAATTTTGATATGCTGTCCTAAAAAGTAGTCAGTAGAGAAAGAACCCTAAAATGCACTATAATCTTGACAAGCGTACTCTATTCAATCTTTTTACATTGTTATTATTTTAATGTTCAATATTTCAATTTATCCTCAAATTTCCGGGTCGTGTACTTGCATTATTTTGTACTTGGATATAATTTAGCATCATATTGGTCCAGTACCGGAGGTGAATCAGTGCTTTTCCTTCATGCAAATCGTCACAAATCTAACGGCAGAGGGCGACAATGAGCCCAATGTAGCAAACAGTCGACCGTAGAAGAAGAGCCCCAATTCGTCATTGTCAATACAGGACAGTAGACGGAATATGTCGATCCCTTGAAACAAAAGAAGTGGCACTCGGTTGAAAGGGGAATCGGAGCTGCTTCCTCCAAAACATGGGCAAGTCGCGGGACTTGACTGAGTTCGAGCGAGGACTGATCGTCGGCGCTCGAAGCGCAGGCTGCAGCATCTCGGAAACGGTCAACCGGCTGGGCTTCTCCAAGACGGCGGTGTCGCGGATATACCGGGAATGGTGCGTGAAGAAGAAGACTAGCAGCCTGCGGGGGACCGGCGGGAGGAAACGCCTCGTCGACGAGGTCGGCGAGAAGCGGATGGAGCGCGTGGTGGAAGCCAACAACCGGGCAACGGTCACGGAGATCCAGACCATGTACAATTTCAGTGCCGAGACGCCCATCTCGCACAAAACGACCCAGAGGGCATTGAAGCGGCTGGGCTACAGCCGCAAGCCTCCCAGGCGGGACTCGGTGTCTCGGACCACGCGGAAGAATCCGGTACCCCGGACCAAGCAGCAGGACCCCGTCCAGGGCTCTCCACTGAAAGAACAGACTGCCGTGTCGACGGACTTGGGTGGAGGCAACAATGCGGAACAGGACACGGGTCGTAAAACTCGGGAGACTTTGCCATACGAGGGTGCTCCCGTGAGTTGCAACCAGACGCTCCCCGCGGTCGAAGCCCCTCTACCGGGGTTTCAGTGTTGGTGAGGATCCACATCGCCGAGAGCCTTCAGATCACCAGTGCCTGTGGCTCTGTTCTTACTTTGAACTCTTAATTTCGAACCCTGGACACATGACCCAACTTTTGTCGTCATCAACATTGAAATGCGGTAGCATAATAAGCCTAGGTGTTCATACAAAAAGTGCATTTATTGTTGTAAGCCATTGTAACGTGATGCACAGTTGTGTATGTTACCACCGTGCTGAAATATAAGAACATGAAAAGCTGCACTACGATTAATCATTTACGCTGCGTTGTGCATTAATTTAAAACCAATTTTGGAGACACACTTCCTTGGACAGGAACACACAAGTGTTTTACTTACAAGTGAAATCTAACTGAGCATTACTTAGCAAATGTGCTTTGCTGGATTTAAAAAGTTCAACAAGCTGTGAACATATTGCACAGTTTGAAAATGTACCTTTTGTGTGTGTACCACTAGTGGTACCGCTCCACACTTGAATCTCATTTGGTTTAGTCTGTTATACCTTGACTGTCCAAATGTTACGTACAAGTTGGAGACGCTTTCAATCAATTGAAAACACTTATATAATATACTTTTGAAGTACTTCCACAAAAGCACACGTTTGCCATGTCGCTAAGCATGTTTACATGCACAAAAGAATCAGATTGTTCCCCTGCAGTTTGCAAGAGATGGGCCGAGCTCGACCAGGAATAGAGAAAATCCACAAGTAACTGACACCCAGCCATTGCAATGGCTTTAAATAGACAAACAGGGTTAGATGGAGCTGTTTTGTATGCCGTTTCAAAGTCTCGTTTCAGCGGTTTAATCCAATGGCGAATTTTTTGTGCATGTACATGTCATGTACTGACGGTGTGGCATCCATTTAAACAGCATGGAGTTCTAAAATTGCGACAACAATATTGGGTGAGGTTTTGACCTTTTGCACCGTCAAGTGAATCCTTTCATGCATCTCTTGTTCACCATAATTGTTGGGCTTTACGCCATTGTCCCATTTAAAATAGCCACCTTGTTGGTGTTTTTCTTAAAGTATTTAACAAGGCCAGAAGCAATTAGCTCAAACAGTCGCGAGGGATGGCATGTTTCTATTCTTCCCAATGAAGTTCTTAAATTATATTTTGATCTATGTGTCGATAATTGAATGCTACTGGAATTGTCTTGTCTGAGGTTGTTGTGTTTGAATGTGATTTTGCACCTTACAGTTATTTGTACAGATTTACTTTCACTTGATTTGAGTCATGCTACGAAATTCACCCGTGTCTTAAAATTTGCATGCATTTGTGGCATTTTCCTGAGAGGGTAACATTAATATGCCTGCATGTTACTAAGTATTTGTTATTGTGCATTAAATGTCTATTTTAGTTACTTGTGTGCACAATTATATGATCACTTAATGACCACCGTCAACATTTTCATTTTAAACACAACTGTTCTCATCAGCCAAAAGAGCACCACATTCACAGTGAATTGTGGTAGCGACAGAATCTTGCAGCAGTGGGTCTGATTTTCTTCTGTTAGAAATGCAGCCTTAGCCAAGGTGGGGGCAATTATGAACACTTCAAAACAGTAGTCAATGTTCAGTAATAAATAGGGTTGCTGCTAGAAAGAAAAAAAACAGAAAAAAAGCCTAGAACACCTCATCTCATCTTCTACATACTAGGTCAAATGAAATTTAGTTGTGGTTAAACAGAGGCATTTTCAAGTTGAGCAGATTTTTATTTGTTTCAAACGAGCACAAAAACTGCAGAATGGTGAAAAGAAAAAAAGAGCACATTGATAAAGCACAAGTTTGAGAAGGGGCCGAAGGCAGCAAAGCTTTTCAAGTTTGAACAGTGAAAATTTAACACATTTTTCCTTGAAGTACAAATCTCCTTAAAAACATAACTAACATCGAATTGATGGCAGTTGTGTGCTAACTTCCGTGTAACAGCTGTAGGTCATTTTTTTGATTTTTTTGAAAGCGATATACAGTAGAAGGACGAATAACGCCACATTTTAAATTGTAGTAACTCAGCCTAGCCGAAGGAGGCGCAGATTTGCCGAACAAACAAACCACAGAAGGAGAGCTTTATTTACAAGTCGCTCATGTTTGCATATTGAGCTAGCTCCCTTCAAAACAAAAGAGATAAGCGGCCCCCAAAAGAGGAATTTGTCGTGTTTTCCCCCAGTCCAAGCGTTGGACCACCCTGGGAACACATGGGCAAATCGCGGGACTTGAGCGAGTACGAACGGGGCCTGATCGTGGGCGCCCGAAGCGCGGGTTGCAGCATCTCGCAGATAGTCAATCGATTGGGCTTCTCCAAGACGGCGGTGTCTCGGGTGTACAAAGACTGGTGCTGCAAGAAGAAGACCTCCAGCGAGCGGGGGGCTTGCGGCAGGAAACGCCTCGTTGACGAGACTGGCGAGAAGCGGATGGAGAAGGTCGTGGAAGCCAACAACCAAGCAACAATCGAGGAGATCCAGACGTTGTACAATTTTAGCGTGGAGAAGCCCATCTCGATCACGACCACCCAGCGGGTCTTGAAGCGACTGGGCTACATCCGGGGCTCTACCCAGCGGGATCATGTGCTCCAGACCGCCCCCGTTGAGAACTCTCACTCTGAGGAATTCGTGGACTACGCACATGTCGGAAAAGGCTGGATCCTTCGCGTCAATGATGGAGGTACCGTGAGTTCCAGTGAGACTGTCCCCGAGGTTGGAGCAACCAAAGCGGGCTTTCCGTGCTCGTGATGAGAGCAGCGCGGATCCCGAAGACCACCGATGCCTGTGGCCCCTGTGCTCCAATGTTTAGTTTTTTTGCCCCATGCACTTTCTTGCATTGCTCTACGCCACTAGTGTACACATTTGATGATTTTTCCACGTGGACAATCATTGGCTTACCATTAGACTCATGCACTTTTATGCAATCGCATTTTTTTGCACTGCTAATTTGCTACCATGTGACTATCATTGAGCGACTGGCAGCTTCACATTTTATTGTCACCCATTAGTTTGTGTTTTTGAGCTTTTGCATAGAGTGGTTTGAGTCCACTCCACCACCTGATGGCGTCACTTTGTCAGTATTAAAATATATTTAGATTTTTTTTTTTTAAGATGACTGCAATACTAATTTAAACTTTGAAGTCATTGCCGTTATTGAGGACAGAATAGCAAATAAACGGATGGAACTTTTATGAAGGTGCCTTTGATTTTCATCTAAATATATTACATTTTTGTTTCTTAACAGACCACAAGGAAATACAAATAGGATGCTGTCTGAATGTCTAAAATCAGGAGTAATTAAAGGACCTGCAATTGACTGACAACCAGTCCAGACTGTATCTTGTCTCACAACTAGTCAAATGGATCCAATTAAAAACCATATGTAAAGCATTTTGACTATTAACGGCATACTTCTCTGCACTATATTCTTTCGATATCATACACTTAACATGTCCGTTTTCTATCTATCAATCTAGCCGATCGGACAGTAGTACCTAATGCAAACTGAAGGGTGCACCATTGAATCCATTAGACCACAAAGCTACAGCGTAGAAGAAGACAGTTGGTCTGAGGCAGAGAGCTCGGCTTACTTGGCATTCGTGATGGGATTTTCGGCTCTTTTCGGTGATCCGGTTCATTTGGATCGGCTCAGTGAAAAGAGGCGACTCTTTTTGGCTCTCAACGGCTCTTTTAACTTTAGCTTTTCTTTTAAATATTTATGACAAATTTAGCATACATTTTGATAAATGACTTGGTGAACTAAATCTTGCACTCTACTGACTGCAAATAGCAACAATTATCAAGCAAAGAAATGGCTTTTTACTGATTTTATTGAACATTAAAAAGGCTCCAAACAATAAACAAGCAACAGAATTAAACTTAAACCAACAACAAACATGCTGCATCATAACAAAAATAGTGAGTATTAACTGCAACAGCAGCAGTGAACAAAACAAACATAAGCTACTCCTTGCTTTATTTTAACAAACATACGCAACTCCTTGCTTTATTTTAAATTTGCAGTCAACACAACTAAATACTTAAACTTGGAATACTTCAATTTGTCCAGTCTTTGAGAACACCCTCTCTGACAGGACAGATGTTGCTGCAATGCACAATCTTCTCTCCATTACTTTGATCAAACGGGGGAAGACGGAAGCTCGGTATTTCCACCAGCTCAGTGGATCAGCTGCCCTTGAAATCTGTGGTTCTTCAAGATATGGCCTAATTTAATGCTTTGTGTTTTTGCACGCTTGGCTAAGACTGTAAATTCGATTCAGGTTGCTTGCCAAACGCCTTTGTGCTTTCCCGGACAGTAGGGGGCGATATGAACTAAAGATATCCAAGAAGAAGAATAAGTACAAGCACAAGAACGGTACCACTTCCGGTTCAATCAGCAAGTTTTTCCGCTGTCCACAAGAGCTGTTCTCAGTGAGTAATTTTAATGTTCTTCGCAGTTTATCTCTGAGTGTATAGATGTAGACA